GCACGATTCAATGCCCGGAATGTCTTCTCGGGTTCTGTGAGTCCTTCAAGTAGTTCTCCAGTCCTCGTAGAATTTCTAGGCATGCACCTGTGTACCCAGATCAACAACCATCAAAATTTTCAATGAAAGAGTTGGTAGAGAGGAAACTGACTACAATAAGAATCTTTATATTTCTGTCAATGGCAATTGATAATTCCGTTAACTCCCCGGCAACGGCGCCAAAATTTGATCGCGCCCAACTATGCCTTATAAAAAGGACAATGCGGTCGCTGCAAATATAATCCGGTTTACAAGTCCGGAGTCGATATCCCACAGAGAGTTAACCTATCAGTTGCAACCTTCAGACCCACCAAGTCTTCAGAATCAGCTTCCCAAATACTTTAAATTCTCAATTGAGTGTTCTTTACTAACTAACTTTCAAGTAACTACATAGCTATAACTAATAAAAAGGGTTGTAAACAATTATGAGAAAAAAGCTAAGGCAATGATTTCCCCTATTGATGGAATCCCTTCTGTTTATGCTCATACAAATTTACCCACACACCTCTATCAATCTTGAACACTAATCTTACCGCAAATCTCTCCCGAGTAATCACAGTAATCTACTATTGCACTCTCCCGAGATACACTAGCTTGCTTTATTTCGCACAATTCACTTTAGATTGCACCCAAGGCTTCGTTATTCCTAATCCGGCCTTTAAACCCGCAATTATAGATTCCTCTAATAATCTAGGAGTGGTGTTGTTCAACAAAACCCTAAATATGCACTCTTTTCCAAGTTATGCACACTAAATAGGCACAGCTAATTGAGGATCCTGTCAATTAACTACAACGAACACGAAGTTGAACAAATAAAGATTAAACTAGCAATTTGTATTCACATAAACAATAAGTTCATCACTCAATAGGTTCCATCAAAGCCTTAGACAAGGAATTTAGCTACTCATGACTATGGGAGAATAAACTAAGCTTGAATTCATCATAAAATCAAAAGAAAAGAAGAAAGATGTTTAGAGAACTTTCTCACAATTGTTTTTCTTGTTAAGAACCCTTAGAAATCAATACATGCCTCTTTTGGGCGAAGTCTAGCGTTTTAAATAGGGTTTAGGTCTAAAAATCCCGTGTTTTACACTTAAGTCCCCGAAGTTTACTGTGCCCACCGCGGTTCTACCGCGGTCGCGGTAGAACCGCGGTCAAACGCCTTCGCGGAATCTTCAACCTTCAGAGACTGCCTTCCACCGCGGTTTCACCGCGGTCGCGGTAGAACCGCGGTGGAACTTGTACCCGGGCATTTTGGCCTGTTTGAATGGGTTACTTGGGAAATTCAACATTAGCCTCTTTTCATCAATAGTTGACTCCAAAACCGCTCCTTAGCCTTCCTTACACCTATATCACC